GAAAAAAAAAACCTCTATTCAAGAACTGGCTAATTTGGGGGTGGGTGGTGAGTAAAGTAAGCATTAAGCTTGCATGTTCTTCTGTCCTGCTCCAGTTACAAAGAATTTGGAATGTTTCATTTAGGTCATTGGCTGCTGTTTGCACATTTCATCACCTCCTTAGCAGGTAGTGATTAATTTTAACTAATTAAAAAATGTCAATTCCAAACTATGGTTTATAAAAATAATTTAAATAATCCACAGTTAATAGGAACAAAAGTGAAACGTGATGTTAGATTAGAAGTGAAGGATTGTCCTCTCAGTCACTTCAGGAGTTAGGAGCAAGCAATGCAAGCTTTGGGCCTACTGTTGCTTGTTCTCCTCACCATATATTGTGGTTTCTCCATAATACCCAAACATAGCCACTAAATTCTTCTTCCTATCTAGGAAGTAATTCTCTTCAAATTCATTTGTCATCATAGGTGATATAATATTTATTAAATAACTCATGAATAAATTTTTATTTTTGTGAAATAGAGGTATGTATGTATATATTGCAGAGAGGAGGCGGAAATGAAAAACATAGCTCAAACGTTTTAGGAAAACTAATGTTTAAGTGTAATAGATCTTTCTTAAACTTTGAGAGAATATATGTTTACCAACAAATGAAGGCATCTTCAGTGCTGGTACCCATTGCTGGCTTTACCTTTTGGGTAAGATTGTGAGTTGATATTATATAAGATGGTTATATAGGTACTTCCCAGCATATCAGTTGGGATAAGTCAAGGCACTGAATCAACTTTTAAGAAGCATCATGTGTAAGTGTCAGCAAGTCCCAAATAATTTTTTATTCTTGAGTCCTAGGAGGTTTATTTCCATCGTTCTGTCTGACTATGTATGGATTCTTTTTTAATTTTCTGGTTCATTTTCCTTAAACAACCAGTAACATGTTAACAAAGATAATGAATCTATCTAATTATGTGTTGCTTTAATATACTGTACCTACCTTTGCACTAATTTTTCCTACTCCAGCCTGCTTATTTATGTATAATTTGTGAAACTAATATGTCATTGCAGACTTGAGTATGAATAACAGATGTGGGAGCATAATTATTTTTAAAAAAATATAAGCATAGAAACTTCATTTAGGTTCCTATGCTTAAGTTTATATAAATGGTACAAAACAATTACAAAAAGACATGCAATGGGCAGGCACTTCGAAAGAACAACTGTGCTGTCACCATTTGATCATCTCAGATATACATGTGAATAATGACAATTTATATGTGCAAAAGAACTATACATCTGGATGTTTTACTTGTATTGTTACTCATAAAACAAGCAAACATACATGAGCTTTTTCTTTAAATGAAATTTAGGGAAATACTTTTTGAAGGAAAGTTGATAAAATAGAGAACTAGATTTTTAAAATTTTAGGAAACAAGCAACTTTCTGACTGAAATTTTATGTAAATTATTATAATTATTTAGGAACATACAGAGTAGTTCTCATCCAATTCCCAAACTCTTATAAAATTAGATGGATGATCTTTTAGTGTGGAAAATGAATAATCAGAATTATTCATTTCCCATACGAATTGTATCTACAGTAGCTCTTCAAAGTAGTTACCTAAAGTTATTTTAAATTGTTAAGATATCTTTTCATAACAAATATGTCTTTAGCTTGTTTAATTTTAATAGAAATAGATATGTTGTAGATTATTTATACAAGCTGTGAGACAGAACACAATTTAGAGAAACCTTCAGACAGAATGTTTAAAATTTGCATATTTTGTACTTAGCCCAGAACTGAGACAAAATTCTTCTAAATGAGAAAAGAAATATTTCTAATTAAATGTGTATATTTGTATTTTAATATTTTTCTACAAAAGGCCACATTGAAATTAAGCATAGTGCTTTAGAAGTAAAGAATTATTATGAAATCGTAGATAATTATTAGAATCTAGTTTATTCTAGATATTAATCATTACCTTTCATGTGCCTTTTTTTTAATCTTGCAAGTAAATGCCTCTCTGTCAAGCAAATGTCAATGAACTCATAAACCATATTTACACGCCATTCCAAGGAGTCCTTTAAAAAAACCTAGAAAGAAAGCAAAAAGATACATTCTGCCCATTTGGTAACATTCAGATAAGCAGGAATTAACCCCAGAAAATCAGACAGAAAACCCTAATCAAGTAACTACCAAGAAGAAAACCACACTCACTCCCACCAAAAGTCTCAGGGAACGCTACTTTATATATAGACAAGAAATCCCACTTGCTCTAATAATATTAACTAGTTGGGTAATGAAACGTCTGCAAGCAAACAGCTCAGCACCAAGAACTCCACAGAAAATGTTAAACCTAAGACTTATGTATAATCATCAAAATGGTCATACAGTTCTTGAGCTTCTTTTGCTAGATCAGGTTACTTTGGGTGGCTTTACCATTCATTCCATTAGTAAAATCTGGTGATTCCATGACAGAAAGATCTTTAGGCCCATAGTCAAGTACATCTGTGAGTAATCCCTAAATGCACGTACACACTTATTAAATGTGTTACTTAGTAATATTGCCACTAAGCTTTGTTACACTACCCTGAGAAAAAGCCCCATTAAAATTGAAGGTATTTACTCCTGAATCAAAATGCAGTCCAGTAAACAGTTTTCATGCACTTACGGCTAAGCTAGTTAATGGTAATAGTGTCTCTGTTTTTCATAAAATAAAAATGTAATCGTATTTTTCCTGCAGTCACTCTTAAAACACAAAAGTCTGGTTGGATGCAATCACTTACTATACTTATTTTGAAATGCATAGTAGTACTATAAGAGAGCCTAAGTAAAATACATGCATAGACATAAAAATCTAAGGATGTTGCATTTTTCACATCTTTTGTCCTGTGTAATGTAGCATTGAATGAAAAAGGGTGTATGAGTAGTCCTTGACATACAACCAATTATTTAGTTACAACAGCACTGAAAAAAGTAACTTATGACTGTTTTTCACATTTATGACTGTTAAAGCATTTCCATACTCTCTTGATTAGAATTTGGACATTTGGCATCTGGGATAAATTTATGATGGTCTCAGTGTCCCAGGGTCATGTTATCATCTTTTGCAACCTGACCAGGTAAAGTCAATGAGGAAGCCAACATCACTTAACTGTGTTCTAACTACAGTGACTGACTTAACAACAGTGGCAAGAAAGATTGTAAAATAAGTCAAAACTCACTTAACTGCCTTGTTTAGCAATGAACATTTTGGGCTCCCTTGTAGTCGTAAGTCAAGGACTGCTTGTATTGTATTTGCTGCCTAGGCTTGTGTTGGCTGAATCCTTACCCTAGTCACAAGCCATTCTTTCAGAAGGTCCAAACATTTTTAGAAAGATCTGAATTATAAAACACCTTTTTGTATACTGTATATTGATTTTTAAATTTGTTGTTTAGAAACAGTATTTTATACTTGTTCTCCCATGTGGGAGGTTTTCAGTGTAGACATTTTACAATAACGCAAAAGGTATTCAAATGTAGTTTGGAGAAAAATTCACTATTATGGACCTTGGGTTTGGTGACTTGTAGTGAATGTTTCTGTAAATATGTTTTTTTCCCCTGTCAACCTCCCATAAAACTCAGCTTGAGTGAGAAATCTAGGAAACTAGAATAAACCTCATAACAGGTCATATGTCTAACATTTTATGCAAAGTTAGCTGTATCACTGCCTATGTGTATATAAGTAGATAGATAACTGTAATCATTATTACTGTGTATATGTTTGTTGTTTACTAAAGGGGAGAATCTTTCTGTAAAAGTCCAGCACAATATTGTGTAAACAACTAAAGGAAAAGAACCCACTTTTATTAACGTATAATCACTTGCAACATGTGAAATAGTAAAAAAGAAAAAAGTAAATTGGTGCTTTGGCTTTTTTTTCACTTTTAAAATAATAAATGATAAGAAAATGTTCTTGCTGTTGCTCACTGTAAAATACTGCTTTGAAGAGGGTTGTGCATTTGTTCTCTATTTTTTAAAATAAAACTGAAAAAATGTTGCACATATCACTTTGTTGTCCTTATTCGTGTTTGGGGGAAAAGTTACAAAGCAGTGATTGAGAAAAAAACATCATTTTCAAATAAAATGTAAAAAATGTACAGAAACTTAATGTTCATTAGATTCATGATTATCATCTTAAAATAGTTTGGCACCCTGAAAAATAAACAAGACTTGTGGGAAGCACAAAGTTTCAAAGCTACTATTGTATTATATTTATGCCATCATAATTAATGTTTTACTGCAATCCATCCATCCATCCATCCATCTTGGCTTACTATCTTGAGTTTTTTTGAGATCAATTTTTAATTGCTTTTAAAATAAAGTGAAAACACAAAAGATGTATAAACTTTCAAAAACATTTACGTGCTTCAAATTAAGTTTTAAAAAATACAACAAAAATCTATGTAGTTTATCGCTACAATATCACTCTGCCTGACTCTGTGGTTTCTTCCCCAAACCCCAAAAACTTTAACCTTAGACTGTCCACTATTGACCTCACCCCTTTCCTAAGAGGCCTGTAGGGGGCGTGCATAAGCGCACCAATCGTGCCTACCGTCCCTGTCCTATTGTTCCTTTTTATTTTTCTTATAAGTATCTATCCCCTGTATTCGAAACTATGTTTATTCTTATACCTGTATCTTGTAAGCGATTGACAAATAAAATAAAAAAATAGTAAACGATTCCATATATATATTTATCTACCGCAATTTCTTAAACAATGTTTACGAATTGGAAGGCTTGAAGCGCCGCCTCAGCTTTCTGGGGTCGTCTCTCTTGCCTGCCCGCCTGCTTTTCCATAGGTGCTCCTCATCCCCCACCCCTCCATAAAATGGGGGCGCCCCTAGTAGTCTTGCTGGGTCGGAGCGAGGCTCAATCCGTCCTGGGATTGAGACCTGACCGACAGTCAAGACAACTCGGGGGAGGGGGGGCTTGGGGGCGGGAAAGGAAAGAGCTACTCCCCCTCCCTGCTCCCCCTCTCTGCTTGTAGCCCAGTCCCGGATCAGGCGCGGACTCCGGCTGCATCCCTCGTGGCAGGCGGCGGAGAGGCTTCACCCCTCCTGCCATGAAGCCCTGGCTCTTGCTCAGCCTTCTGCTCCTGCAGCAAACGCTCCAAAGCGGTAAGTCCCGCGGAGTCCGCTTCGCTCTCCTCTTCCGAGCCGCAGCCCCGGCTCTTCCTTTCCCGCGGGCGTCGTCGTCTAAAAAAAATAAAATTTCTTCCTCTTCTTTCCCCACCCTTGAGAATTAAAAATAAATAAAAAATGACGGGGAGTGGGATGGGGGAAGATGTTGATTTCTACCGTGCAAATAGAGCAAAGGACGCCCGGGGCTCTCTTGGCCACAGAACCCCCTCCCTTCCTGAAAGGGAGCCTGAAGGAGACCCCAAATCCTTTCTGGAGCGCCTATAAGTAATGGAGCCGGAGGACTGCAACCTCCGCCCCATTAAAGAATTTAAGAACTTGGAAACTTTTCATTGATGTAGTTGAAAACAGACTATGCGGCAGTAGGACCTCTGGCTTTAAAACTGTATCGATGGCTGTGTTCTGTATGGTTTTATAGCCCCTCAATACAGCTGGAAAGGTCTGCAGCTTACAAATTAACACAAACAGGAGAGCCCCTCTTCTCAACAAAAAGGAACAATGACAGGGAAGGAAGAGGAATTCGAGGAAAATAAGCATGTTATTCAAGGCATGAAAGACACGTCTCTTAAGAGTTAAAGAACAGATCTCAGAAAATCTGACATCTCCTGGGATATCGGGAATTGATAGTGGTTCCTACCAAAATAAAATTATTCCAATTATTCGGGTTTTATATGCACAAGTTTTAATTGTATACAATGCTAAACCAAACATTTATAATCCCAGTGGAGTATTTTTGCTATAATTTCATATTCAAAGGGAGAAAACACTTTTATGTTGTTACTTTTCCTGTTTATCCCTTAGGGGTAATTGTTCATATGCATGAGTTTAATTGAAATCAATGCAGCATTAAAAATTGCCTGTCTCTGTCTGTCCTAGTTGATGTGGCAGACTTAATTGTTGTTAACAATAAACTGCTTGTAATTTAGGCCCATATAAAAACAGATTGGATACAAATTTTAAATCAGATTTTTTTTCCTTCCGTTCAGTGTACCCATAAGAAAATATAATAACAAACATTCCTATTAATAATGTACTGCATCATCTTTTCTCATCCTGCCCTCTCTTTATAATAGCTGTTGGTCAATCTGCAAAGAGCAAACGTCCGAAGGAGCCTGGAGAGAACCGGATTAAGCCAAGCAACAAAAAAGTCAAAACCAGAACTCCCAAATTAAAAGAAAGAAACTCCACAGAGCCTTCCCCAAAGGCCAGCTCCATAATGACACGTGTGATGGAGAAAGGCCACTTCCAGAAACCCACGGCTACATTAAACCTTTCAGCAGGTCAAAGTATAGAGCTTCGGTGTAAAGGGAATAGAATTGGATGGAGCTACCCTCCCTATCTTGACACCTTTAAAGACATCAGACTTAGGTAAGGCTTGCCAAGTAAAAGGATGAAATGGCCCTGAGCTTCATTGCAGTTCTTTCTGAACAAAACACAAATGTGGATGGTCTTGTTCAGGTAAAACACATGAGACAAATATTTTTTTTTTTGCTTGGTTTAGGAGATAGCATCTCCCACATATAGTTAGATACACCCTTCTTTCAGTGGCCATGGTAGGGATTGTGAGAATTATAATCCAATACATCTAGAAGACATCTGGTTGGGAAAGGCTCCCAAAGCCTTTCACCTAAAGCAGGGATGTGAAACTCATGATGACATGTTGTCATCACATGACATATCGCAACTTTTTCCCCTTTTGCTAAACTGGGGTTGTGTGTGGCAAGCGCATGACACATGCATGAGTTTGACATCCCTGACCTAAAGCAATGAGAGGTCCTTGGTTTTCTCTGAGCTTGGTTGTTTTCTTGCAGACATTTCATTACCCAAATTAGATAATGACTGATTATGTTACCTAGTTTGGGTAATGAAACATCTGCAAGAAAACAATCAAGTTCAGAGAGCACCAAGAACCCCTCTTGTAAACCCTGAGCTACATTCTCCTTTATTAGTACCGAAAGCAGAGCTCTCCAAACTTGTCAACTTTAAGACTTGTGGACTTCAACTACCAGAATTCTAGGAGTTGAAGTCCACAAGTCTTAAAGTTGACAAGTTTGGAGACCCTTGACCTAAAGCAACGGTTGGGCTGAACAGTGAACAATTGTGCCATTCTTTTGGCTTCTTCTTGTTTCATGCAATCTTAGTCAAAAGTCAGAAATTTACGGTTTCTTTCCTAATGGCCATGACTGCACCATAAGCCTTGAGGTGTGTCACAAATTTCAATATTACAGAGCAGCCGTGAGCAACCTTCCCCACCCCCCAAATATTCTGGTGCAGGAAAAAATAGTTTCTCAGTCCAGGGGCAATATCAGGCTCTGTTTAGCAGTCTGAAGGCTCAATCCCATGAGGGCCAGGCGGGGGGAAGAGAGGATGTTTTCAGGAATTAAATGTGCACTTATCTGTGGAGATTCAAAACCATCTAGTTCTTGGTTGTCCCAAAGATGTTTTTCCATAAGGAAATTAGATTTTCTTGGGTGTTTTGGGGGGTGGGTGGGAATGTTTTGGTTCTTAGCCAAGAAGTTTCTTCAATTCTAACTGACTGGTGGGGAATGACAGGAGGGTTCCACACCCTGTTACTCTCTGATTCAGGTGATTCTGGGGACACAGATAAACTGTCAACCCTCAGAGTGCTAACAACCAGATGACTGCAAAGACTATAAATCCTTCTATTCGTCACCAGTCAGAACTGAAGAAGCTTCTTGGATGAGAAACAAAATGTTTTCAATGAAAAAAACCAAGAAAATCCAGTTGCTTTTTGGAAAAAAACCCATGGGACAAATGTGCAAAGTTAAGATACCCATTTTGCTGGCCAACCCTCCAAATGGAAAGAATGGTATCTGGCTTTCGCCCCACCCAGTCTGAATGGATGTTGGCAGGCACCAGTTGGCCAAGAACTGTTGTTGAAAATTCATATCTTAAGATATGAAGCCAGCTGTTCTTATTTCAACTGGAAATGTTCTTTTCATGAGTGTTTATAGAGGATGTCAGTGCTAGGATGGGGTTTTACTTTTGAAATGAGTGAGCTATCACTCTGGGGGAAAAGTAAATATAGGCTTTAACTGTATAATTATATAATTCATAACCAACCTTTCTAGATTAATTTATTTGTATTGATTTGGCATTGTTTCTGTGCCACACCAATGGCAGTAAGGAACTATTTAATACAAATCACAGAATTCTAATTGAAGAATTAAATATGCCCAGGTAGTTGAAAATAATAATAACAGTCCCCACATGTTAGCAGAAGCATATAATTTTAAGATATCTTCTAAATATGAACAGAAAGAGGGCCAATTTGTGTTGGGGACCAGCAACAAAAAAAGGACATTTCTATATCTTTATTTCTGGATGGGTGAGGATATATTTCTTACCTTGCAGATCCAGTTTTGTAGAATTAGTGCCAGGCTTTAGCTGACAGTAGCACTGGGTATACTTTAAAAAGTTTCTGAGAACCAAGAACTTGTAATATTTGTTGACGAAAGTTAGGAAGCCATGATGAGAAATGGTATAACTACCATGATTCAAGAATGACCTCTCTGTCTCTGCTCTCTTTGTCTCTCTGTCTCTCTCTGTCTCTCTCTCAGAGACTGGCCTATTTCTATCTTCTATCGATCTATTTTTGCAACCATTAGGCAGGACATGTTTTAATCCTCTTACTAGACTTTGAATAACAGGTGTGAAGTTCAGATCAAATATGTGTAATGTTTTCAAGCTGCTTCAAAAATAGGTCCTTTAGGAATGAAATTTTCTGAGCAACTCAAGAATATTCTGTTGCTTCTTTGGAACCTGCAGATGTTATAAAGGGATTGGATGATTTTTCCCTTAGTAGTAAATATAATCAGTGACCAGAAAGTTAAAAAAAGACAATAAGGGAAATAAAATACAATAAAAGTACAAATATAATACAAATACAAATAAAATAAAAATAAAAGCCTAAAAAGAAATAGAGAGAGAAAACTAGGGAGTAAAAATATCAACATTGTCAGCCTAAAACCAGTATTTTTTTATTATTGAAATAGCAACTAATAAACATTTACTATTCTATTTCTAGCATTTACTTCAAAGGGAAATTAACTCTATGAATGAGAAAAGAACAGAAGCTATGGTATCATAGAAGAGAGAGTGAAAAAATGTGGTTGAGGATTTCAGGCAAGAATGACTTCTACAAAGAGGCTCTTGTGGACCTCCATTGTTTCTATAGTCTCTAAAGTAGCATTCTAGAAGAATGGGACCTGACCATGCCAGGATGCTTTCAGTTCATACAATCATGTTCTAGAAAATGGCAAACCCATTCTCCAAACATCCAGGTTAACATAGTCTGGAGGAAGAATGGAGCTGGAGTTTTTTGGTTCAGTTTGTTGGAATAAATGCATTTTCCATATTCCATGCCTAATTATTTAATGCAATAATATGGTCTGAGACAATAATCAATATTTTTGTTACTAATTAAAGCATATGATAACCTTTGAAGAACAACTGTATGAACATCCTATATGTTTAAAATTAGTAGTTTTAGAAAATAGTGGCAGCAATAGATTTATTTATTTATTTATATCCCACATTCATTATTTTTACAAATAGCTGAAGGTGGGAAACATATACAGCACACCTTCCTCCTATTTATTGCACAACAACAACCCTGTGAGGTGAATTGGGCTTAGAGAGAGGCTGAGATAGGGCAAGGTAGCCTATCTGGGTTTGATGTTTAAGGTATACTACTTTATAGTAGTATACCTTAAACATTATGTTTAAGGTCTCACTTTATAGCCTGGTGCCTTAAACCATTAAACCAAACTGGGTCACATTGTAAAACTCTTCACAGCATCTCTTTGTAAAGATTTTGTATATTTGTCTATTTATTTAATATAATATGGCTGCTCATCTTACAAATACAGCTTTGGAAGGCTGACAATGCATTAAAAGAATAATAAACAATATTAGCAGAATTAAAAATACAACAGTGATCACTGAGGATGACTCCAACAAGACCATGGACAGAATTTTTTCAGTGGGACATCCTGTATTCTTCATCTTTTCCTTTTCTTTGAAGCTAAATTAGTCAGAAAGCAGATCTAAAATAAATTAAATTACTGTCTTACAAATCTTTGTCCTAAATAGATGTGCTTTACTCAAGATAATCATTGTACTTTCATTTAGAGGCCATCTTTTCCTCTAGTCACTAGCCAGTTTGGTCTAGTGGTTAAGACACCAGACTAGAAACTGGGAGACAGTGAGTTCTAGTCTTGCTTTTGTCATAAACCCGGCTGGGTTACTTTGGGCCAGTCACTCTTTTTCAGCCCACCTTACGGGTTGTTGTTGTGAGGCAACTAGGAGAAGAAAGGAGTTTGAGGCATGTTCACTGCCATGAGTTAGTTATAACAAAATAATAAAAAATAAAAAATACAAATATTTCACAAAGAAAGAAGAGTTAATCATGCACTGTTAACTTCAACCATAATTTTAGTCTAGTAAAAAATAGTTTAATAAAGCATTAATATTTCAGTCTGACCATTATTTATGAGGTATGAAATGACCTGCTGAAAAACTAGTTATTTTTCAACTTGAGCTGATTGTTTTTCAACACAGCATGATTTGGGTAGTGGGTAGAGTTCTTTCCTAATACAGCTTCTTTTCATTGTTGCTTTTTCTTAAGCCATGCTAATTATTATTCTGTTGTTGGGGATTGAGGCATGTTACAAAAACTGTAAAATAAATCTCTCTCTATATAAAAGCGAAATATCACTCACGCATCATCACAAAATCTCCAGAACCTTAAAGCCTACAAACTTGAAATTTGGCACATATGTTCCTCTTGGCTTCTAGGTGCTCACTTAAAAAGTATTTTTCAAAATGACCATCAGAGAATTAGTATTTTCTATGCTATTATTAACACACTGTGATGCTAAGGAGTTCTACTCCCCCTCCCAACCTGAAAAGAAATCTGTTCCAAATGCAAAACACAAGCAGAGGAGAGGAGTTTCAGTTTCAGTTTCACTGCAGCAACAAGCTTTAGTACAGAACAGTTGAGTTAAGCCATGCCCGGGCTCCTTGCTGCCTCCTTCTTGCTCACACAACAAATACTGCTTCAGTTTCCAACAGCCCTCAGCTCTCTCACACACTGACAGGACACTAGCCAGATGAATACCATGTCAAGCCCGAATTTGATATAAGTGCAGCCATTTTAGTTTGTCTTAGTATATATTCTTTTTCTTTTTTTCTCTGTGGCAGTCCTGGGGGGGAGGGTTTCGGTCTTGATACATTCCTAAGAGGGGAGGAGTGAAGATAAAGAGAATGTTATGACTAGGTGATCTTTCCCCTGGGAATCAAGCTGTACGGATTTGGGCCCCTGGAGATCGAGATTTATGACATCAAGCATTGTTGAATTACTGCTATTGGAGAATGTGACTTTTGGGGGATGTTTCTAACTTCTAATAATGTGGGGTAATTCCAGGTTGGGTCAGATCCGGAATTACTTGGAAACCTGACATACTGATGGATGCTGGTAGGCAGAGGCATAACCCCCCCCCCTCATTTTCCTCCCCAAAAACTAAGCCCAATCACATAGTTTTGTAGCGCAGCATGGGTATAGAGATAGTAAATGAATAAAACATAAATGAATGCCTGCATATATTTTAAATGGGAGGTTAAAAAAAAGATAGCTCTCCAAATGTTGCTAAATTACCATTCCCAGAAATATCACTCTTGCCATGTTTGCTCTCTGCTGAGAATTATACTTCAATCTTCAGGGAGATACATACTGAGGTGAGTTTTCATGGCCAGTATTTGTTGGGTAGTACTGAGCTTCAGGGTTTAGTAATTGCAGTGTAGAGAATAATGTTTCACCTGCAACTGTGACTGGCATCTTCCAAATCATAATGGCTAACAGATTACCTTGCCTCTGAAAATGCCAGCCACTATCAGGAAATCCGTTGTCTATCTAGCCCAGGGCTGTCAAATTCCCAGTCAATGGGCCTGATGCGTCACATGCTGTCCACACCCACACCCGGTTTAGCAAAAAGGAAAAGAGTCCCAATGCGTCACGTGATCCTGCCATGACGATGTAAGTTTGACACCGCTGATCTAGACCATGGTCACCAAGCCCTGAAACTTGGCATTGTTCAAGAAACTGTTGGTTTCCCATTATTGGGTTAGTCTTTGTGGGAAACTACATAAATATGTGCCAGAGCATGTAGCCCTTTTCAAAAGTGTTGTACTAATAATATGTAGACATTCATCATACCAAAACCAAATAAATCATTGTCCAAAGGGTGCTTCTTCAAGAGGTAACTGAAGAAGCTTCTTGGATGAGAAGCAAAATGTCTTCAAAGAAAAAAAAAAGAAGGTCCAGTTGCCACTTGAAAAAGCACCTTTGAGACAACCATGATCTGGATGACTGAGAATCTCCATAGACAAAGAATTCATTAATATTTCTGAATGGATCTCCAAAGGGAGCTATGGTTTACTTTGTTGTTAACTGAGCTATAGCATAATGGGTCACTAGGTGGCAGATTTCACCTATAATACTAATCAAGTCTACCTTCAACTGGAGGGAATGAACCTAAAACAGCTTTGCCTCCTTGATGCCTACTTGGTGGTGGAACTGCCGGAACTTCCAAGGAAGGACCACCTAAAAGTGACCAGGATGGATTTAAACACTAAAGGCACAAATCCAGTGAACATTAGCCAAGATTACCTGCAATTGAAAGGGATGGAATTACATTTGTCTGTCTTGTTTGTTTATTGGTTTAACAGAATTCATTTTAATTAATTTCTTCTGGAATGTGCCTATTAACATTGCATTGTTCTCTAATATGGCAAGTAAACTCTTTCAGTTTAAAAGAGCCTACTCAGGCTAATGGTTTCCTCTATGCATGTATTTACATTTTCTCTTCTGAAGATTATGAGAATGCTGGTCTCAACTTATCTGTATCAGATGCCAAAAAGTGAATTTAGTGTCTAATGTAGTGGTCTTTTTCAGTACATAGTTTGTAAAGAGTAACAGGAGTCCATGTAAATACTGAAAAATCACATTTTTCCCCCAATAAATTGCAATTTCCTGGTAATTTGCAATTTGTGTTATATGCAGGCTCAGACATTGTAGAAAACTCATTAATGCTGACCTTGTCTCATCTAAGGTCATTCTAACCATATTTAAAAGGTTTAAAAGATTCTGCTAATACATGCAATCAAAATTCCTCAGGAACAATTGAATCTCTATAATGTAGACATTGTCTACTGAATATCACTCATGTGCCCTGTAAACATGCACCCATTAACTTCTATTAAATTATTTATTGCTTAGCTTGTTCCGCAGTTTTATATCTGTCCTTCTGCTGTCTTTGCAGAATTCACTCCAATTTTCCAGAAGTTGTGAATAGGCACTTTGAAAAATGTCCTTTTTACTGTCTTTGCTTGATGTCATTTACTCTTTTCTGCTTGAATGTACAAATGCTAACTTGTCTGATAGCTTCTGCCAATTCAGTCATTCAGATAGTTGTAGGCTATTTTCCTTCAGTACTACATAAAATTGATGATAGCTGTTTTGGTGTATCTGTAGCATTACAGATGGGACTGTGGGAATATATCATTCCTGTTTATATTGAAAGTCTGGTGCCCAAAGAAAAGTGTGAAAATACTAACAATGTCAAATGGCTTTCCTGCCATTTTTGGCTCACCTTTTAACATGGGCTCCCATTTATAGAAATGGATTAAGGTTACAGAAGGAAAATCAAAATAATCAAACGAGAAAGGAACCTAAGATCAGCACCAGAAGCTTAAATAGTCCTTTGTCTCTGTTTTTGCTAGCATCAAACAACATGAAAGGTACAGTCGGCTGATCCTGGAAAATGCCACTGCAGCAGACACTGGTGAATATAGTTGCTGGCTCCTGCAATGCAAAGGCTACAATTGTAAAAAGGATGAGTCAAAAAGAGGTTCAACATACATATTTTTTGCAGGTAATAAACTGGGTAACAATTACCAAAGAAACCAGGATTGTTTCTGTTTTTTCCCCTCTCAAATATCCATCTATCCAGTAGAGATCTAGTATCTTCAGGTTGTCACAGCTGAAATTGTAGCTGCCTGTTCTTGGGTACACTTACTTAGCATATTGCACAAATAGAAATAATGAAAATGTAACTCTGGATTTACCAGCTTATGATATACATCATATGCTTTCTGATTTCCAACAATCACAGCACAAAAATGTTCCTTTCCTCCCTTGACCAAATTATACTGCTGGGCAAAAAAAAAAAGGTGGAGTCAGCAAGAATGGGGTTTGGGGCAGAAAGATTCTGAATTTCATTTTGTATGCTTACAACAAATTTCTGGTCCCATTTCTTGTTACTGCTTGGGGTTTTGTATTAGGCTGTGGTTGTGGACCTTTGGCATGTGGTAAAACAAAAAGCAAAATGGCAGACCCTAGGAATGCAAAGTCTGCCCAGGGAGGGAGGAAGGGAGAGAGAGAGAGAGAGGAACCTTGTCTACCCAATTAAACAAACATTTGATTAGTAATGCAGGCATGAACTGGTCCAACCACATATCTTTTAACATTTCCTCAAAAAGATTCAGCCAACATCAGTCAGTTAACCTTTTCTTTATTATCATATTGGAAGAACCTCAAGGAAGTAATATAAACCAATCTTAAATTTCATTCAACTCCTTAAATATTTAGCAGATACATTAAACAGACGGAGCAGCAAATGTTCATCAAATATTCATTGTTTGCTTTTTCCAACAGACCTGCTTTCACTCGATACATTACACAGGTTTTTGAAAGGAGACTATTTTAAAAACTTCTGATAGGGAAACTGCGGTTCTGAGCAGACCATGTGGAATAAAGCAGTGGTCGCCAACTGGTGGACTGGGGACCACTGGTGGTCCATGAGAAAATTATAGTGGTCCGCAGAGAAATGTCCCCCCAAAACACTCCTCCCAAAGCAATTAATCCAGGCTGTGCAGGAACACACAGCTGCGCCGCCCACATGGCCCACCTATCCACTGGCCCCCAGCCAAGCGCAAACCTTATCTTGGGTAGAGCCAAGGGAGCTGGAACTGGAAGGTAAGACCAATGGCGGGGGAGGGAAATCCGCCCTGGGGTGGCTTACTGACATTGGTGGGAAAGTTAGTCCCATATTCCAGAGCTGCAGTAGTCACAAGACTGGCCCTTTGGTCATCCTGGAGCAGCTCCTCCAGTGCACCCGGGTGGAGAAGCAGCTGCTCCGGGATGACCAAAGGGCCAGTTCTGTGACTACTGCAGCTCTGGAATATGGGACCGATATATCCCACCAACGTCAGCAAGCCACCGTCAGTCAAAATGCATATTAGTGGTCCGTGGGATCCCTGAGGTGTAAAAGGTTGGCGACCCCTGGAAGAAAGGACTCCCGTTGGGGTTGTAATTGTGATTTGTAAGGCATCACTAAAGCCTATTTCTTTTAGCACTATTACATTGCCTTTCTTTTAGAGCAACAGACTTGAGGAACTGATGTCCACAAATTAGTAAACCTGTTGCAGGTCACTATATTATTGTATGTGTTCGTGCATGCACACACACACATATATGAAAGCACACACAAAAATCTTTCCTCTTATCTAAGATTGCAAAACAGGATTTATCAAGAACCAGACAGGACATAACACATAGTGTAGCTGGCAGGCTGTTGTTGCAAGCAGGTCAAGCCTGAAAGTTGCCTTTGAATTTGAAAGTAGTACACTTATTTATGTCCCTGAGATATAATAGGCATTTTGCTCATGGTTGGTAGATTAAATTAGAAATGCTACTGTTTAAGATATCTTTACAAATTTTGCTGCATTCTCAGACCTTGAGGTAAGGTAGGCGGTGAACCCTTTAAATATTTTCTGTGTCAATTGGAATTCTTTTCTCATCATCTTTTCCAGTTTTGAAGATTGTTCTTAGTAAATTTAAAGTTCAATCCTGCCCAGGGTCTATATATTTATATAAACATTAAAATTACCAAGAACAGTCTTAAAAACTAGAAAAGATGATGTGCACCCAGAGAAATTTGTTTGCTAAATTTTCATCCATTACTTCGTGACTTGTTATCAGGTACTTTGGAGAATAGGTTGATCCTTTTTTCTCTACGATAGTCCCTCAAAAAGACTTGGAAGACCGCTATCATTTCACCCCAGCCGTCTACTTTGTTAGACTATTCCCAGTTTCTGTAACCATTCATTGTACAGTTTAGCCTCCAGTCCACTGATCATCTTTGTTGCTCTTCTCTGTACTATTTCTAGAGTCTCAACATCTTTTTTGGACCGGTGTGATCAAATCTGGATGTAGTATCTGGATGTAGTATTCAAAGTGCGGTCGTATCAGTGCAGTATACAATTAAGGAGAAATTTCTTGCCACTGCTTCACATGATCTTGATATAATCCTTTTGTTGATGTAGCCTAGGACTTCATTGGCCTTTTTTGGCAGCTGTGGCACACAGCTGGCTTGTATTTAAGTGATTGTCCACTAGGAGTTCTAGAACCCTCTAACAGTTACTACTGTTGAACCAGGTACTGCTTATTTCTATACCTGTACATTTGGTTTTTCTTGACTAAGTGTGATGAAGATGTTACCTGTTCAGACAAGTGTAGAGTTGTAATTGCAGGAATGTTCCAATCTCGGATGGCAAACCTCAGATAAAGAATGTTTCCAAGCAAATACAACTCAGGCAAACAAAGTCACTAATCTATGGATAAAGGAGGATTAGAGAGGGGAAGTAAACATATGTTAGACTTTAACTAGAGATAATTAATTGTATGGATTACTGTACTAAACAGTGACGAAAGTTAAGCAGTAACCCAAGTTAACCAATGATGGAGGATAACTAAAAATGTATATAAATCCAAGACTATACTCCAATAAAGATCATCATGATTCAGTTGTTCATAATCAAACAACTCGACTGCCTCATCATTACAACAAGTGGCGCCCGAACAGGGACCCTCTTACTTTGTCCAGCAAGGATTTGGTGCACCTTCAACCCTTTGCGGTTCTTCAACCTTTTGGTTTCTGTAAGTATGGGGTCTTTGCTTTCTGAGGAACAAAGGAAGCATGTAGATGAATTAGGCTATTTGTTGAAGAAAAATAATACCGAGGTACCACAGAGAAATCTCTTAAGGCTGGTCCAGGAGATTGCAGCTCAGTGCCTATGGCACCCAGAAAAGGGGTCTTTAAAATTAACTGATTGGGAACATATTGGGAAAGCATTGCATACTGAACCTCGAGCAAAAATAGAAGTTTTGCATGTGTGGCATTTATGTAGGCATGCAATTGAAAAATTTGGTCACAATGAACTTTTTCTTTTAACACCTCCACCTTCACGTTATACTAATGCTGTCATTTGTCCCCTTCTTCACCTGAATATATGTCTTCAATTCCCTCAGCTCCTGCAGATACAGGGCAAAAGCCTCCTGACTCTATTGTTCAGTCTTCTTTTCAGAAAATGGTAGAGACTTGTAAAAGGGATGCCTCTGTCTCAGGAACAGAACTTGCAGAATTAATGTCTGTTTGTCCAGTACAATATCGTCCTGGTCAGGGGCCACAGCTTGGACTGCAGGAAGCAGAATGGGACAGTCTGCCTTATCAGATCTTAAGAGAGTTTAAAAAGGCAGTTACAGACTATGGGATTAGTGGTAATTTTACAAGAGGACTTGTAGAAGGAATAAAAAATGGTTATACAATGATCCCTGAAGATTGGAAGCAAATATTTTGCATGATTTTAACATCCATGCAATAATTGGTTTGGGAGAGTGAATATATGAGACATGCTCAAGCTGCTGCTTTAGGAGGAGGAGGAGCATATACAGTTAAGCAGCTATTTGGTTCTGGACCATTTGGTACAATTCCTACTCAAGTTGTTCTTCCTCCAGCTACGTTAACTATTGTTTCTGAAAGTGCCTTTCATGCTTTTCTTAAGGTACCCCAAGCTGGAGAACCTAGAGCAAATTTTTCAAACATTCGACAGAATGCCAATGAGCCTTATGCTGACTTTGTTGAGCATCTGTCCAAAGCAATTAGACAACAGTTTGATCATCAGGAAGCTGCTGGTGAACTTCTTCGCCAGTTATCTATTGAAAATGCTAATGCAGATTGTAAAAGAGCTTTACAGCTGTTAAAGGCTATTGCTCATTACACTCTGGCAAATATGCTGTGAATCTGCCAGGATATTGGAACATTCCTGCAATTACAACTCTACAGACAAGTCTGACTCTTGGCTATTCTATGGGCCAGGTCTCTCAACATCTTCTGATCTTGCACTATTTTTTTGAGTTTTACTATGCTCTGGCTGGCATTAGGTTTGATAGTGTCCAGCCACCATGTTCTTTGATGATCTAGTTTTCTTTTACTGGTAATTCTTCCAAACATAATTGCTTTCTCTAGTAAATTCCCAAGTAAGAGAGACAGTTTTGTGATTCTGCCTTATAGTGTCATGTTTGGTATTATGAGCTCCAGTACTTGCTTGTGAGTCACATTTGATGTCCAAGGAACATGCAGGAGCCTTCTCCAGCATATTCCAGTACATCTCAGATGAGTCAATGTTCTTCCTGTCTTGCTTTTTTAAGGTCCAACTTTCACAATCATAGGTAAACATAATAGAGCGAACATTTGGTTGCCAAGCTGATGTCCTTGCTTTTCCTTATTTGGCTCATGTTCATCATTGCTGTGTGACCCTGTGCAATCCAACATTTTATTTCTGTGCTACATTCACTGCTTTATGCTATCTGAAATCATAAGAAAGTGATTTTCCCCACACATTCTATCTCTTTACCTCTAGACAACTACTGGTCTGTGACCTGGGGGTTGGGGACCTCTATTCTAAAGTGTTGGCTAACCCTTCTAGCTTTGTGTTATCTTCAAATTTGATGAGTTTCTCTTCTATCCCTTCTTCTAAAACATTTATAAAGAGTACTGGGCCTAAGATAGCATCTTTAGATACCAACTGCATGCTTCCATCCATGTCAATGCAGTTCCATTGAAGACTACATATTGAATGCAGTTGGTCAGCCAGACAGTTACAAGTCTGTCCACATTTTTCTGTCTTAGCAAGAAATAAGCTGTGGTCTACTTTGTCAAATGCCTTACTGAATTCCAGGTATACTATTACTACAACATTTTTCTGGTCCACCATTTTAGTCACTTTGTCAAAGAATGTGGTGTTTGCCTGGCATGATCTGTTTCTGAAAAATCCATGTTGGCTTCTAGTAATAGTTTTGCTTGTTTCTAGGTTTTTGCAGATCCATTGCTTGATTATCTTTTCCAGGATCTTCTAAGATATCGATGTCAGGCTGATTGGTCTGTAGTTTCTTGGGTCCATTCCCTCTCCCACCCCCCATTTGTGCAGACTGGAAATGCATCACCTCTTGTCTTTTGATAGTTCACCAGGGCTCCAGGATTTTTATAGAATATTTTATTACAGTTTATAAATTAAGTTAGAAGGTCCCCCAACAATATTTGGATGGATGGTTAGAAAATTATCTAGCTTTCTGTCCACCTCCATCAAAATAATGTCTCATACTGTTCCCTTTTAAAGAAAGCTATTATTAAATATTATTAGATGTTTATTATTAATAAAATCCAGAATTCTATAGTATTTTCTTACAGAAGCTGCAATCTATCTACTTACATCTATCTATCATCTCTATCTATCTATCTATCTATCTATCTATCTATCTATCTATCTATCATCTATCTATCTATCTAATCTATCTATCTAACTATCTATCATCTAGCTATCATCTATATAATTTATTTATATCTATCAATCAATCATCATCTATCATCTATATCTGTCTGTCGGTCTGTCTAATCTATCTATCTATCTATCATTTATCTATCCATTCACCCATACATCATCTATCATATCTATCTATCTATCATCTATCTATCTATCTATCTATCTATCTATCTATCTATCTATCTATCTATCATCTATCTATCTATCTATCTATCTATCATCTATATCTATCATCTATCTATCATCTATCATCTATAACTATCAATTATCTATCATCTATCTATATCATTTATCATCTCTCTCTCATCTCTCATCTATCTACCTATTAGCCATTCATCCATCCATCCATCCACCTACCCATCCATCTACACACACACACACACACATACACAAAAACATACCTTGGATTGCTTCTTTATACAGATAAAGAAGAGTTCTTTGTTCCTGCTCCCAGCTATTTTGAAGTGGTCTACCTCAGCCCAGATAAACCTGCTGTGATTCCCTGCCGAATCACCAACCCATCAGCAAAAGTAACTCTGCATCAAGAGTTTCCAGCAGAAGAGATCAAAGTGGATGGAACTAACATTATCTATGATGCCAAGAAGGGGTTCATCTACCAACATCCAACCTCTGATCAGAAAGGAGTAGTTTACTGCAGAGCGGAATCACGGGGGACATCTCAGATTTCTATTAAATACCAGTTGCTTTATGTAAAAGGTAAGTTAATTCCAAGAGACTTGGTGTGTAGTAGAATACTTTCAATGTTGTTCAGCTGAAACAGTAAGAAGTCACACTTTGGCTATGTTTTCCTGATGGGTCCACAAGGAATTAAAATGATGGAATTACTGTATATCATGCAAATGGGTAGATTGATTTTGATAATTTCTCTGAGTTCCTATTTTAATTTTCTTGCGGAAATCACAGGTGCCAAGTTTTGGAGATCTGCCACCAAATGACATTGTAATTTTGAGATTCCAATGTACAAAATGGGGATTACATAGGAGGAATACTTGTCTATTACAAGCCATGACACAGTTTCACACATCTAACATATTAACAGTAGCTCTTCTTGTAGACGTTGCAGGTTGAGAACCATGTATTGTACCAAATAAAAACCAGGAGTCTTCTAATAGCACCTTTTCCAACTCACAAAATTTAAGCCCTGGAATGAAATTTGTTAGTCAAAAAGTGATAAGAAATTAGGTTCATTGAGTTATGCTCTTAAGAAGTAATTTTATGGCCTCTTGCAAATGAAGCTTTGTTACTGCATAAGCATTTGTAGTTCCCAATTCATCTCATCAGATCCAATGTGTGGTCTTGAGAAATGAGCATGATATAAGGGTTGTGCAAAGCTTCCAGTAGAGGTGTTTTGCAAAGCACGTTCATGCAAATGAAGCCCTTTTTGAAATTTAAAGAAGCCATCCTTGGAGTTATGTGCCTACTCTGAAGTCTGTCCGCTGACTAGGCTTCTATTTTTTATGTACAGCACACTTCTGCTGTAATAGTCCTTAAAGCAATCATGTTTTGGAATATGCTTTGTATATACAGAGGCATTCTTTAGGGGAGGAAAAGAGATATGATGGAAAATTGGAGAATCAGAGTAAATAATGACTATTTTAAAAAGTGTCAGGTACAGAATTGCTATTTGCTTATATAATAAAGGCAGAGTTTATTGTCTAAGTATCTCAGTAGTATGGATCAGTAGAGCAATTGAGACTGGAATTGCCATCACTAAGCAACATGGTCATAAAGCATGATGTCATGCAATTGTATAACTTGGCAATGGTAGTTCTGGAACTCCTGATTAAGAACTGTGCTTGTCTTAAACTCGCAATTATGACATTGCTGAGGACAGTGGCCATGTGCTTGCCATTTGTGACCTTTTCTGCCAGCTTCACACAGCAAAGTCAAAGGGTAAACTGTTGGGGACAATCTACATTGGGCTTCCCAAGCTTCTCCAGCTTCCCTTGATTCACAGGTAGCCTGCACTGCGCCTCCCAGACCTTCCAGCCTCTCCCTCCCATTGTGCTCCCCCCCCAACTGCATGCTCTTACCTGGGATTCCCGCCATATCCTGATGACTGCTAGGATTGCTATCTGATACAGTCATATGACTATCTTATGAACCGGGCTTGTCTTTAAGCAAGAACCTTAGATGACCGCAATGCCCAGATTCCTTCCAACCTTCCCACTGATTTTGTGGGAAGCCAGCAGGGAACATCAGAAATCATGATCACATAATTGCTGGGATGCTCTGAGTGCCAGAACTCAAAGCACCAGTCATAAGTCCTCCTTGATCAATGTTGTTGAAACTTTGAAAGGTCACTGAACGAATGGGTGTAACTCAAGGACTACCAGTATAACCAGTCCTGAAAGAATTATTAAAATTCCAGAATTGTTTTTGCCACCGTTTCAAATTCCAATAATCTTTTTATGCACAAGATAGGAATGTAATTGAAAATACATTTCGTTTGTTCCATTCTTGTCTTGTGAAACCCAAATTTTAATCTATATGAATATAATGGGGCCACCTTCAAAGCAACCACACTTTACTTTTCTTCTTTTCATTGTATCTTATCTTTTGCTTTAAATTAGTTCCTTATGGACCTCCTTCAGCTACAATCAAAGCATCATCCAATACATTACAGGGTGGCAGTGACGTTAATGTTTTGTGCACAGTTTTGGGGCAGCCAGATGTAGAAGTGGAATTTAATTGGATATATCCAGGGCAAGAGGTATGTATCATATATTTTGTTTTCTTTGAATATTTCTTAAGGTCTAAACTGGAACATTATATGTGTCTTACTATGCAGAAGAATAGATTTTAGATAATTGTGGAATAAAGCAATTAGCTACAGAAGTATATTCAATTACTACAAGAGGTTTCAACTGTTTTATCAAATACAGATAAGGTTAAATATTAACCTATGTTTCCATTACTCTAAGTTTATTTAGATAATTCAGTACAAGGTAATAAATAAATTGGCCAGCCCTGTTTTAGACAAGCCTAGAAGGAAAAAAAAATATCAGAAAAGGGCACGGATAGGCAACAAGATTGCAATTGCATTACAGAATTGGCAGTCAAAGATTAGATTATGCAAAATTAGATTACGCAAGTGTTTCATAACTAAGAAGTCTTCCTAGAAATTACCTTTGAAGTTCCCCAACAATTATTTTCTTACAGAAAAAGGTTTCTTTGCCAACCAAAAAACTAGTAACATAAAATGTTGCATATTTATTGTGGAGTCCTTGGTGCTCTCTGAATTTGATTGCTTTGTTGCAGATAGTTAATCATCTTGTAGCACTGATGATGTTACCTACTTGGGTAATGACATGTCTACAAGAAAACAACCAAGCTCATAAAGCACCAGGGACCCCACAGTTCAATATACAAGTTACATATATACTTTTCTAAAGATTTTTTATTGCTCAAGTCAATTCTTTTGCATATTATTAAGTGATGCTGTTGTAAGGTAGTTGTGATGAAGATGAACTGATCACACCAGTGATGGCATTAGCCGGTTCGCACTGGTTCATGCAAACTGGTAGCAAGGATTTCGTGTGAGTCGCCAAACTGGTAATAACTTCTGGCTGGCCATGCGGCCAACCTGGTTGCCCGGTTGTCACTCACTCGCTTGCCCCACTCATCTGATGCCCGATGCTCACTCACCCAGTTACTCCTTAAGGTATTTCTTTTTTTTTTTTCACCTCCCGACAATCAGCTGTTCCTACAAAGAGCTGTGCCGGGATTCCCTTCGCTTCTTACTGCTTCGCCCAGGAGGCTTACCTGAAGCCCAGAAAGGCAAAAAATGGAGGGAGTGGGCGCAGCTCCCTAGAAGCTCATCTGAGGCCAGGAAGCCCCCAAAACAGAGCATTAAGGGGGTCCTGCATTGCCTCCTATGCTCTGTTTTTCTTCTTCCTTAGTCCCAGGGGAGCCTTCTGGGAGCAAAAATGCCCCCCCCCCCCAGAGGCTCCCACGAGGCCAGGAAATTCCCAAAACAGAGCATGGATGTGTGCTGCATGCCCCTCCTATGCTCCATTTTTTTCCTTCCTGAGCCCCAGGGGAGCCTTCTGGGAGCAAAAACGCTCCCCTCAGAAACTCCCCTGAGGCCAGGAAGGCCCCAAAAACGGGGTGGGGGCGGTGCTGCAAAAAAAGCCATGCCCATCCAATCACATGACCATGCCCACCTAGCCACGCCCACCTAGCCACACCCACCGAACCGGTAGTAAAAAAAATTGAATCCCACCACTGGATCACACTAAAAAAGTATTGCCTTAGCCATGAAAGTCAGTTGGGTGACCTTGAGACAATCACTCTCTCAGCCCAAACCATCTCACAGGGTGGTTGTTGTGGGTAAAAATAGGAGGAAGAAGGTATGATGGATATGTTCTCAATCTTAAATTACTTGTAAAATAATAAAGGTGAGATACAAATAAATAAATATTGAGTTTGTAATGTTAATACAACTAACTGGACTTATATCAATAACCATATAAAGATTTGACATCTTTGGCAAGAATGGCAGATCATGTCCAATCATTGCATTCTATAAAACACATTGGGATTTTTTTATTGGTGATTAATCTTGGATCTAAACTCCTTGATGAAGCTTGACACACAATCTTAGCTAAAGTCTAATTTAAGTCACTAAATCCAACAAAAGCAATATAAGCTTTGTAGCCACTTAAAAGAGATCTGTGATGACATAAGTGATTCCATGGGTGTTGGGCAATGTGGAAAAAAGGAACACACAGTCTCATCCTTGCTATCTTCAGTCTTTGTCTGAAGGGAAATGTACACTTGCATACATAGCTTGCTCAGATCATACATAGTGCTGTGCAGGTAGATCTTGCTTACTGGATTTCTCATTCAGTGACTATTTAGTGTTACGATGGTGCTGAAAAAAAATACCTTTATAACCTGCCTGCATTTACAAACTTCGCAGTGTCCTTCACATGATTGCCATTACAGTCAGTATGCACTGTCCTGTGCCTGATCTGTGATTTCTTCCTTTCCCAGTTACAGAGTGAAGAGATTAGAGAAGAAGGGATTACAAGAGAGCAAGAGACACACAATGGCAAATATATAGCAAAAGAAATGTGGTGGTGATTTCAACTCAAAGAGTTACCCACAAATAGTCTAGCATATTCATCATTGCGTCTTTGACTCTCCAATCTCTTCTCCAATGTCTTCACTTTGTAAAAAGATAGTGGGGAGCAAAACAAAAAGCAAAAACAGACCAGGCATGGGAGAGTTTACCTACAGAGATTGGTTGCCTTTTTTTTAGCCCCTCATTTGTTTAAGCAATCTGTCAGGATTCCGGCAGTTACCCCAATTAAATCATCAGTTTCAAGCCAAACTCCCAAAATTTCAAAGGATTTATTGGAAGTCAACATGTCGGCATGACCTCTGTATTCTGCATGGGGGTGGAGAGAGAAAAAACCCTAGCAATCTCTATAGGAAAGTTATCCTGTGACTCATCCACTTCCATTGCCTCTTACAAAATAGAGAGATTGGAGACAAGAGAATTACAAGAGAGTAAGAAGGCACAAAATGGGGAATAAACTTGGCTTTTCTTTTCTTTTTTGCATAGTAGGTTTGGGGCTCCTGGTACCATCTCGTTACTTTTGATATGTATTCCTCATTGTGTGCCTGTTTACTTTCTTGTAACCCCTTCCTCTTCAATGAATGTAAATACAAATATTAATTTTTTTCCTTCTTGCTAAATATCCCAGCACAGAGTGAGCATTCCAAAGGGCAATATTGGGTGGTAGTAGGGGGAGGGAAGACGAAGGATGGTTAAAAGGCAAACAAAGGTATGAAACTGATTAAACTTGCCAGTTATAGGCAACCACTGTGAGCTTGCTCTCCCAGCACCAGTTGTGAGCATTCCAAAGGACAGGAAAGTGGGGAAAAGAAAAGCGGAGTCACAAGCATTTGATTTCCCATTTAGCCATCATTTTAATGACAGAGCTGCTGGTCCCAATTGTAATGTCTAAGTGAGGCCCACCTGTAATTGTGTTGGAGCAAGGAAGTACAGCTCCTTTTTAGACTTCCTGCATGAATGTGTGGAGTCTGCAAAGAAGAAACAATAGAACAATTATTGTAATCTAATTTCCTACTCCTTACAGAAAGACTGCTGTTGGACTTACAATATTTACAATAAATCATGTAAAAGCAAGAGATGTGAACTTGAATACTAAATTCTGCATTCTAAATTAAGCAATCTATCTGGCAGGAATGCAAGGGAGATCAGTCTTAAACTGTCTCATATATTTCTTTCAAATCTGAAGTCTAATATGAATTATTTAAAAAAAAACATAAATAAATAAGAAGGCATTCATCAAATCATCTGCCTTAACTTGCCTCTTTCATTGGTTGTAATTCAGAGTAAAGCTACTGTGTATGTTTTAGATTAGTAGAAAATAACATTTGCAAACCAAAAAAGGTGGGTTGGGTTTCTTTTGTTTTTGCAGAATTCTACCCCATGTAATGTGTTGTTTTCATCTTTTTAGTATAAAAGACCAGTAAATATCCAAGATTCTTGGAGACTAATTGATAGAGGAGATGATCATACTACAAGAATCTCTGAGAGCATTATTACTGTTGAAGATTTGGAAACCATTGATGCTGGAAACTATGTATGCGTTGCTCAGAATCTTCGAGGACAAACCACAGTAGCTACTCAGGTTGAACTAATCTGAAGTCTCCAAGTAGGCAGAACAAGAAATAAACTGTCTAGTTTCTGACCAGCTTTAAAACTGGAAATGGAAATACATTGGACAAAAATCATAATATATTGAATTTTATATAAATTAAAACTGAGCATATAAATATAAAAGAGACTGGAAACCAGTGTAGTACAAGCATTTCAAAACTTCGCTGCAGGAAGGAAATGTATGGTTCAAAATTTGCTTCTATTGTTAATTCCATAGGTTGCTTTAGAGATGTCACCATTGGGCATCTGCCTTTGCATAGATCTTGCCATATTTTCACAATAGAAGTGCTGGCCTACTTTACAGAGCATGTTGTAAAGGTTTAAACAATAATGTATCACTACAAAGCACTGAACCTAAGAGAATAATTTTGTATTTGTATTTGTGTCTGCATATGAATGATACATATTCAAACCATTTTCTCCATCAGTAATTTGGAGTTATTAATTCTTAGATGATAATATAAGTATGCAATATGTTAGTTATCTTCCTTATGCTTGTTTGCAAGAAAAGCAAGCAAGTACACACCTGTAAGGTTTATCGATCAAGAACATGTTTCTTATCAAAGAAACATGATAAGAAACATTTCCTTATCAAAATATCTATTATGTACCCATTCCCAAGCAGAATTTGTTCTTACCTAAGATAGCTTTTATATTTTATGTTGAAGTCATAGCATATATGAATATTAACAGGTCTTGTTGGATGGACTTGATGCATTTCAACTGACGTGTCTTTAAAAAATTACATATTGAATAAACTGTTTTTCAAATTTCAGAGTAGTTGGTGTTTACAGATTATGATGTAACCAGACATTCTTGCTGAAAATATGGTGAATGGTGTGATACAGCTTTTAACTCTTCAGGTCCTCCCTTGAAGATAATATGGCATTTTTATATTTTTTTTCTAAATTCACATGCAGATGTGGATATGCCTATGATCAAATAATTTTGCTGTAATCTTTGTAGAAGATAAATAATGCCACTTTATAAGTCTATAAGAAGCAAGCCTTATTTTTTTCTGTTAAGTACCATATTTAATAGACTGCAATGTAAGAGAATTTGTTTAAATCATTTATCATGGTTCAACAATCTCATAGAACAGGCACTGTCAAAGCTTTGATAATCACCGTTTGCATTGTTTCCTTTTTGCTGAGAGCTTTTCTTACTGTTTTTGTTTTGCCAAGTCTGAATTGATGAATTCTTCTCCCAAACTGTGTCAATGATATTCCCCCTTTTACAATCCTTGTCAATTAATCCCTCTGTTATTTGGGACCATCTAGGCCCAGTTGGTTTGGGGAAGCTCTATAGCTCCTTGTAGCGAGGAGCATGTCAGTTCCAGGTAGCTCTCACATTGCAACCATTTGCAGTTACAACAGTGATTAAAAAGTAACTTTACAGCAATCTTTACATCCATGACCCTCACAGGTGTGAAAGCATAGGAAAGCTGAAGTAAAATTGTAAGTATAGCTGTGGTTTCACATAGTGGCCACTTTGCTTAACAGCCAAGTTACTGGTCCCATTTGTGGTTGCAAAACAAGGTCTGTCTTGTCTTTGCTTTTGTAAAAAAAAAAAAAAGACAGCTTTTTCAAACTGAGCTCAAATGCTGGCACATCTATATAATTTTCTTGGCAACAATTCAGAAGTTAGCTTTTTGATTTCCCAATCTAGTGAACAAGTGTGGCATTTTTGGGGTGGTGGTCTCCTTTTAACTACTAGCCAGGGATGTGCACCCATGCTGGCAAATGAAACAGCAGCATAAGCCCTGCACAGTTCAGATAAGTTTTAATGGAATAGATCTGTTTCATTTATGTTCTAAACCAGGGGTCTCCAACCTTGGCAACTTTAAGACTTTCTGGACTTCAAGTCCCAGAGTTCCTCAGCAAGAAGTCCACAAGAAGTCTTAAAGTTGTCAAGGTTGGAGACCCCTGTTCTAAACCATCTCTCCCAAATGCTTTGAACAGGTATATTTGAGATAGTACAATAGGATAGTACAATAGTACAATAAAGCTTTAGGACTTCAGTGCAGGAAGGACCATTGCTTAGCTGAAGATGGATAAGTATCTTCCAAACATACCAGATGTTTGTATTATAAAATTGGATTTTTACATTCATCTGATTCAACCTGATTTTCCTTTGAGCAAAAATATAGTCTGATAATATTTCTCACAAGAAATGTTGAAAAAAAGCAAATGAATATATTTATGCAACCATTTATTGTTTACATTTGTACCTTGCCTTTCTTGCACACTCTTTTTTGATTTAACAACCCACAGTAACCGTCCAATGAAATAGGTCAGGTTGAGCGGGAATTACTGGTTCCATCTCCCAGGTAACTTTTGTGGCTGAGAAAAAAAACTAGCATGTGGATTCTTCACTCCTATTACAACACCACTACAAATCACAATGCAGCTGGCTTATTATTGAAATTCAACAAATGAAAAGGAAAAATGCTCGTAGTGCCATTTGTCTCTTTTATTATCTAAGGAAAATATGAAAAACAATTTAACAATTTGTCTATAGCAAGACAATTTTACCATCTTCAGCTAAGCAACTGTCCTTCCTATAAAATGTTGAGTACAATATTCCAAGAATAATGCACAAACCATTTGTAGAAGTTCATAAAAACCTTTTAGCATAAAATCTAGCACACCTGCTGTAATGGGTGATCTATGTTCTTCACCAGGGCTACTTAGAAGAACCATTCAACTTTTCCCTCCCAACATCTTCTACAATCTCCTGCAGTGGCATTTCTTCATATTAATGGGCTATGCACACAATAAAGGTAAAAGCATGCCATTCTGCCCTGTGTTCATGAAAGAACAGCAGCATGTTGATGCATAATTAAAATGTAATTAACATTTAACTTTAGGTTGTTGATGAAACGTGTATATTTTATGACATAAAGAAGGGAATCTGTTGTCTCTATGGACAAGATGAAAGCATGCAAACAACTACACTGGCTGCTCCATATCCTAATCCTGATCAGCTTGTATCCTAAATTCTGGAGTACTTGTAATCTATTTCCATAAGTATATGCATACACTCTTTCTTTCCTTCTCTCCTTTCTTCCATAGAAACAGCAAAGGGAAAAAAAATCAGGGTGAAGCGAGGCATGAAGAAGGAAGAGCTGATTTGAGAAAGGAAATAAGCAAAGCGGGGAGGGAATGACAAGGGAAAATAAAAGAGAATTTCCCACTATCTGGGCCTAATAAAAGGGTTAAAATTCAACTGGCAAGCAAATTCTTGCAAATCTTGTCTCCTAAGGAATCTGCACTTTTCAGCGCTGGTGTCTGCAGTCATTTTCATACCCTATTCATTGTTTTGTTTTTAATCAGCAATTTAAAACATTTCCCCACTTCACACTCATGTGCACTTCTATATATAAGCCCATGTAGCAACAAAAAGCAAATATTTTATATCTACAAGTTATTATCCTCTGATATGGGATATTTATCTGTAGAAACTATTATCCACACACAATAGGTGGGGATCTATGACCTAATATATATATATATCCCTCAGCTATTTCACAATGCTGCCACCTGATCTTGATTTGGATGCCATTTATACTAAAAGAAATGGACTAGAAGACCTCCAAGGTCCTTTCCAGTTCTATTCTGATAGATTGACTATATGATCTTCTCCACCATGCCTGGTTCTCACTGGTCTTTGAAGATCCAGTTCTTAGAGACAAAATTAGATGCATGAGATCAATGCTAGAATCCAAATAATTTGAGGGAAGGTTGCAAGATCTTATATTTTGTATGCCTATATTTCTTCTTATATGTAGAAAGGGATCAGATAAACCTGCAGAGAGATTGCAATTCTACTCCTTTTGAAACTTACCTGATTCTTTGCATGTTTTCATCAGTTTATATGCATTGTTCTGGTAGTTAACCTACAACTTAATTGAAATGCAAATTGAAATATAGCAAGAAGCTCCACTAAGTGAAAATTTATAGTAAAGCTTTATGTTCTTCTCCCTAGCCTTGGGAATCTTGGAAGATATAGAAACCTTTATCATGGTATAAGAGATAGTTTTTCATTACACCAGAGAAATCAACTGCATAATGTCTGCTAAATTAAAGCATTTTTTCAAGGACTTTCTAAAATCTGAAAATTACTGTTCTGATGTCTGCAACTCTAAGCTCAGTCTAAATAGAAACAACTTCTGTTTAAATGACTCACAACTTGGAAGGAAGACTTCTGATATACATAACATACTTCATGTTAGCATTTATATTATTTTGGCTTCAGAGATTTGCTTACGCTTAAAAAGGCATTTTAAAAAGGCTGTTTTAAAGCAGTAAAAAATTTATTTTAATTTTTGACACTCAATACATGTGATCAAATATGACCTTACCAAAGAAATAGATTGCTTCAAGACATATTTCTAAGCCAAATTTCAGCCTACAGCAAATGTTCGTGGTTATACAAATCAATCTCTGGACAACGGTTTATTTAGAAGTGCTGGCATCTCTAGCTACAACAGCATGTACTGTTCCTTAAATGGGTTTGGGCAAGTAAAATATTCCATACACAATGAAGAATTAAAACATTTTATCCTTGAATTTTTCATATTACCAAGTATAATATGCTTCCATAATTATAAAATAACTAAAATCTTTCCCCCTTCAAGCCAACATTTTGCTTTCTAAACAGGTATCTAATTTGACATTTTGTTTTCACTGTTTATAGATTATTCAAGGTCCCCTTCTTTAATTTTATGAAAGGGACAAAGGATATCTCTGAAAGATCATTGCCAACCTTAGGCTAACAGTTAATCACTAAATAACAAATTCGTTGTTGGGTTGTATTGGTAACAGACCAAACCATAGGATTTAAAAATCCCACCTATATCAGAAAGCAGAGACCATTTTTAATTGTATTAGAGCTAATTTGTACAAATAAGAGATTTTAAATCTCAGAAAAATAAAAACTGAACAGGTCATTAACAAGAGCAGACATGCACTATGCTGTTTTTAAATCTGCAATGCAGAATTAAATGCTACCCAAGAGATAAGTATCTTTCTATTACAAAACAATAAGATTTTGTTTAACTCAAGAAGGTCAAAGAAAACCTATCAAATGAAACAGAGGGTAATGAATTCTGCAGCCAATGGGAAAATGTTAATAAATCTTACTGATGAATGTAGTGAATGGATTGCTCCTTATAGCATTTACTGAGTAAAGTGCACATTGATAAATTATCAGTTCAGTATATTACAAAGCAACACGGTACATTTCTATAGCCTCTTGCTCCTTTTAAAATAAGTACATCTGCATTGTTTTCCTCTTGTGCTCTGAAGCACTGCTATTTTGAGTCAGATAAGACCCTGTACATATGGACACTAAATGTTTGTGGGTATATCTGAACTTTCTACTACACTGATGTGCGTTTTTGTAAAGGCTGAATAATATAGCTAGAGGAAAGCAATTTAATTTTGACATATATGTGGAGAAGATGAAAAATAATATTTTGTACAATGTAATTATGCCTGGAAAGGAGATGACCAGACTCATTACATTCCACAATGAAACAGGTAGACAACCAAACAGAAATAGCATCTCCTTTCAATCGTTTACTAAACTGACATACAGAGATAACGGAGAACATATAGTACAAGTGGCAGTTTTTCTTTATCCCAAGAAAGGGAAAAAAAACTTTGATAAAACATGCATTATGAGAAAATTTTATTCATGAATAATATGACCCTAATTTCTTCAGTGTTTATCCTCTATCATATACATGGCAAAGATGGTATGCTGCATC